AAAAAAAAAAAAAAGGAACTAGCAATCATTGAAAATTGTGTAGAATAAAAGAAAAAGAGGAAAAAGTGAGGAAGGTTCCTGATCTTTCTCTCCTTGGAGCCCCCTCTCCCCAATTCCGGCCATCACCACCATCCGCATCGTCACCGTCACCACCATCATCATCATTGACCATCACCTCCAGTTTCGATCTCCATCTCCAGCAGCTGTAGGTTTCTTCATCCATCTCGTTCCATTGCCAAAAATCCATCTCCAGATCTGCTTGTCTTCGCCCCGTAGCAGCTGCAGGCCACAGATCTAGGGGTTTTTGAGGAGTGGAGAAAAGAGAGAATTTTTCTCTTTGGCGAAAGAGAAAGAAGTGGAGGAAGAAAGTTGGGTAGGGTTAATGAGATATTACTATTTATATTGCTTGGCAAATTACAAAAATTGCCACCATTTTAAGAAAAAAATTAATAAAAATATTCGAAAATTGAAAAAAAAAAGTTTTGGACAAGCGTTAAATTCGGTAATTTGGAGGCCCATACGGTAAATATGGTAATGACCTCCAATACTAATCCCATACCATAGGTCTAAATAGTATTGCTATATTACCATTTAGACTTACCATATGGTAATTTCCTGTACCATTTCCACTGGTAATGGGACGGTACAATGGTAATTGTGGCATTTATGGTATAGTGCCCATCCCTAGGTGTTACCCTTAAAATCTATGGAGGGACTACATTGAGGTATTTTAAATAGTAGAAGGAGCACATGAGGTAAATTAAGAATAGATAGTTTAAATTCAAGTTTTATAAGTAAAAGTGGCATTAACCCCCAAGGTCTTATGGAATTTTTTTTTTTTTTTTAGCGAAAAGTTATATGGATTTTCTATAAAATGTGCGTCTAGAGATTTTTTACGAACGTCCTACCATCAATATCCGTTCTCTTTCCTCTTCGAAATGTCTAAGTTCTATGATGGCCTTGTAGATGAGTTCCAGTCATGGTGGTGGGCTGGTTTTGTGGTGGTTCTGGCCTTGTATTATGCATGGCTGATGACCAAGAAATCAACAAGAAAGCTGCCGTTGCCACCAGGTCCGCCAGGCCTGCCTCTATTAGGAAACCTTCCCTTTCTTCAACCTGATTTAAATCAATACCTTACTAAATTGTCTAACACTTATGGTCCCATCATGAGGCTCCAACTGGGCAGAAAGATTTGTATTGTCATAAGCTCCGCTTCGCCCGCCAAAATAATCCTAAAAGACAATGATGCAATCTTTGCTAACCATGACGTTTTAACAACTTCGAAGATTCTATTTTATGGTGGGATTGATATTGTTTTCAGCCCTAATGGTCCGCAATGGAGGAAGATGTGAAAGATTTTTGTTCATCAACTGATGAGCAATGCGAGCCTTGATGCCTGCTATGCACTTCGCCAACAGGGAGTACGAGACATGGTAAGGGATGTGCATAGCAAGGCCGGTTCCCCCATTGATATCAGCGAGCAAATGCTTATTATGGTGCTGAACGTAACGATGAGCATGGTACGAGGTGCTTCGTTGCTTGGGGAGGAAAGGAACAGCATAGGGCCCGAGTTTAGACGGTTAGTAAAGGAGGTTGTTGAATTGGCCTCAACACCCAATATATCTGATTTTTTCCCAGTCTTGGCTCCATTTGATCTTCAAGGAATCAAGTCAAAAACGAAGAAGATTCTTCTTTGGTTCGATCAGATGTTTGAATCAGTCATAGCAGGCCGAATGAAGGTTAACGGTAAGGGTAAAAACAAG